AGAATAAGAACCGACCCTCTGGATCCACCCTCCTATCTTCTATTGTGAATCTGACATTTTTCGTCATTCCTATTGCTACTCTTTAGCCCATTTTATTGGGGAATCAGCATAATACCAAACCGGATAAATTCTTGATTGCAACATAATTCTTGAATCCTGGGCTAAATTTGTCTCTTGTAAAAAAAAGACTACATCTGCTGAGTATTGATAAATTTTTCTGAGAATCTTGTGTCTTTTTTACCGGGGTATTCAGACCCTTTTCATTATAGGTTATTACATTTAGAACATTCCTATCAACCATTATATACTTTTACTCTCCACCCAATTTCCTTCCTTCCCCCCCCGTCAGATCCTTGTATCTGGAGATCTAGATATAATACCTTTGAAACAACAGAGTTCTCCCAGGTGGTTAATTTTCCTCTCCCCTCCCATCCTCCCCCTCCTTCTTTCCTAGTTTGGACCCCGGGAATTTCTTTATTTTCCAGACACCCCCTCCCACCCCCACCTACACTAAAAACCCTTTGGCCTATTTCTAGCCCTGGAATCAAATGTGGTTCAATTCCCACTGTCGATTCCTCTTCAAGGGTGATCTCGGAACATGTACACCTGACAGAACCCCCATTCCTTTCTCTAGGTCACAATATCAGTCCCCAATACTCCTCTTAGTACCCCACCATTATTCTAATGAACATCTCTCTACTCATTTTCTACATAGCACTCCCTACCCCCCCCCCCCCCCCAAACCGGCACACAGTCCCTGTATTCGTTCCTTATCTCATTCTCTTATTGTTGGGAACTGATTGCCACCTCTCTTTCCCTAACTCTATACACTCATTTGCCCCTTCAGATCATCCTGATATTTCTGTCAGCTGTAAATCTAGTCTTTCACAGAAGTCCCACATATCCTCTGGAAATCTCAATTTCACAGGATGTCCATCTTTCCAACCTATCAGACATGAAGGAAACCTCCAGTTACATCAGATGTTTTTATTACGCATCTGCTCCAATAAAGGTTTCAATAATCTTCTTCTGGCCAGGGTCTCTGATGCTAGAGCTGCAAAAATGTGTATATTGATCTCTCCATCTTTTATTACAGACATCCCTCGGATTTTCTTCCAAATATTAGCTTTATCTTCATAATCATGAAGATGTACTACTACGTCTCTGGGGGTTTTTGATGGCATCTTGTAAGGTCACCTAATCCTATGTGCTCTGTCAATTTTCAATTGATCTGCCACCGCTCTTCCTACCAAGGGAGTAATCACTCTTTTCACTTCATCCAGTAGTTCTTCTCCATTAAAAACCATCTAGCAGGCCCTGAATTCTCAAGTTGGTTCTTCTACTTCTGTTCTCTTGGTCTCCTAGTTTATAAGCCAGCTTCCTGTGTTCTTTTTGCATTTCTCCTACTTGTTTTTCCAAACTAATAATTACTTGAGCATGTTTCTCTATTTTTTCTTCTGTTTCCTCTACTCATGTTAAAACTTGTCTCAAGTCATTATGTATTATCACCATTTAGTTTTTTATAGATTGTTCCAATTTTGTAAATATTTCTACAATTTCCATTTTCGTGGGCATCTGTGCACTTGTTCCTTGATCTTCTGAAATTTCGATTTCCCTTTCATTTTCCATAGTTATGGATTCTTTAGTCTGGATTAAAATTCAATATTCCCGATGACAATCTGGGTTGATCTCCTTTGTTTTTTCCCCAAGTCTCCTTTTCCTTTTACTCCCTGCTGCCTTTCTGGAGTTTGATCCTCAGAACTTTTCCTTTGCGGGTGCATATACTTCCTAATTGTGCTTGTTCTTGCTTGTGGTGTCTTTTACTCCTCCTCCTTTCACAGATTTATTCTTCATTGTATTCAATTTTATTCTTACTTTAACATGCACAAAGATACACTCTTTCCCGAAAATAGATGATACTTTTAAATTCACAGTTAGGCACAAAGCTTTTCCTCCTCTCCTTTTCTTCTATCTCTACTGGGAGACCCCAAATTTCTACTATCTCTCCCCCCACCAAAACATTCTCCTCAGTGGGGGTGAAAGTATGTAAAGTCCACAAGATACAGTATAGTATAGTGTATGTGTGTTCCTTGCTTCCGCAGTAACTCAGCACCTCCAATAGCCTCCCTCTTTGCGGGTCACTCACTCCTCCTTCACCTTGCCTCCTCCGCCTGCCAGCTCTGTTGGGGTGGTCACTCATGCAGGGGGGGTCACGATCCATGGAGACCGCAGCCTGCATCTTGCACCGGCTCCTCTCTCCTTTCCCATGGCGATGACTTGTTGGGTTCCCGGCGTGGTCACTCCCAGCATTCACCACTCCGGATCTCCTCCATCCCACCTCGCGAGAGCTCGGACTCTCCTCTCGGGAAACACTGCTGCCTCCTCCAGCTCCGTGCCAGACCGTGGGCCCGGCAATGGCCTCTCAGACAGCGGGACAAGGTAGGGCAGGGGGCTGCATGTATTCAGGTGCGGTTCTCTCTATACATTTCTTCCCTTAAGCGGGGGACCAAGGAGCACCTAGTCTGCATGTCCTGTCGGTGCCATGTCGGCATCCCTTTGTCTTAATCGTACAGTACAGGACACAGGCAACCTATTCATACATCCTGGGTTAGAGTCGAGAACTTTTAGGTGACTGGACACTGGCAAGCTTTTGAAACCAGGTCCTCCCTTGGGTACTTCCGCTATTACCCAACACCACTCCATAAATCCTCAATTTTGCAGCAAGCAATCCAGAGTAATAAGGATAGTTAGTTAGAGAGGGTGGCCCATGTCCTGTACTCCAAGATATTGAATTTACAGGGAAGTCGACATTCCTCTTCAGGCCAAGATTACGTGGTCATGGGCTTGGAGGTTTGGGGGTCCTTGCAAAGGAACTGAGCCCCAGGTTTGGTCTTGGACAGATTTGCTTATTGAGGTTTAGCCTTTTTGTGCTGTGGAAAAGGGTGTTGTTCTTATGTGACATCCTTGAAAAGCTGTCTAAAGAAGCAACAAAAAGGTGTTCACCATCTAAGGGCATATGCAGCAGGTGTTTCTTACATGATGTACGGGCAAGCAGAAATATTTACAGGAAGAATCAATGAACTGCCACTGCCAGTGTTAGTTCATTGAGAATTACAAGCCGACAGTCACTAAGGCTGTTGGGACTTGTTGTTTCTCGTTCAAAGAGGACTGTGAATGAGTGACACAGCCAGGCAGGCACAGCCCCCCATGGCAGCAATTTTTTAAAATTTTGAAAGCTAGCAGCAGGAGAAGACCCCCACTAGCTGTCAAAGCAGGGGAGCAAAGGCCGGTCTATTCATAACATGTTACACCCTGAATATGGATGTAACATATAACATATTTTGAAAGGTGAACTTACCATTTATGACATACCTTAAAACAACGCCCTCCAGTAGCACGCTGTCACCACTGATAGGGATTCCATCTTCACCCAGTCTTCCTTCCGGGTTCATGGGCTGCAGCCGTTTGAATGGCGCACAGCAATCTCAGCCAGTACACAGAGCTCTAAAGGGACAGCATGAATATGCCGCCCTTCAGAGCACATGCACTGATGACAGTACTGGCTGCATCCTGTGTGAATATCTCCTAAACACCCGCATATTTAGGAGATATTCACTGTACCTGTAGGTACAAGTGCATACACGGAGTTTACTACAGCTTTAAACAAAAACCCCTTATGGTGCCAACGACTCTCAGAGAAAGAGGGGTTTTGTTCTCCTGCAGATATTGCTTCAGTGTAATTAATTGATTCATATAAATGAAGCATAACTGAAACTTGCACTGAGAGAAATATCAACCTGCCATTTCTGCCCTTACTTAAAAAATGCTAGTTACCTAGCTGTATATGACTTGAACACTTTCTGACTTTGAATATGAATAAGGCAAATGGAGCCAGAATCTTTCATGTGCATACATGTATACGGTCAGTGACTCAAAAAGCATTGACAGAATAGGATTAGAAAAAGAGCGAGACAAACAACATGTGCCCAGAATAAAGGGCAGACAGAGGAAAAAGGACTAGTAAACAGTATTGCCTGTGGCATCCCTACAGCTGATATTTAATTGATCTACCATGCTTTGCTCTGCACTGTGTCTCTGTGTCACTGCAAGGACCATTTTGTTAGAGGCAGGGGTTTGCTTCCTCATTCCAGCAAAACCTCACTATGAATCTGCTAAAACTAGCAGTCAAAGGCAGCAGTGCCTGAGATCTCACATATTAGACAGATAACTATGAGGAACAGGAGTACCTAGATACACTCACATACCATAAACAGTACAGCTATTTTTCAGGAAGGAGTCCAGACAAAAGTGTGGGTTTTTCAGGGTACTGCACAGGCAGAATTACCATTATTATACAGGGCACACTACAACATTTCTATATTCACCCAAAAACACTGCAAATACTCACTTTTTTAGTTAAATTTCCACTTTAAAGCTAACTTCCAGGCAGCAGATAAATACACAAATGAAATACAAACAGCATATGAGAGCTGTTTACCTGCAAGAATATTTGTACTTCTGCCCATTTAATTCTGACATTTACATTGGTATGCCACACAGCACAGCTCTGTCTGGTGTAGGGTCCTGGTTTCCTCTGCTGCAGTTCAGTAACACATATGATCTTGTACCTCCCCTGGCCTATGACTGGATAGTGAAATGAGAAGCAACAGACTGATGAGCTCATCTCTTTGTCACTCTGCCTTCACCGCCTATCAGCATGTTCCTTGCACTGGAGAACAAATGAGTAGCTCCTTGTGCTGCTTCTTCTTTCTGCTGTATAGACTGATGCCAGGTCAAATTCCGGTACTTACACTGCTTGCTTTGAAAAAAATAAATTAAATTTAATTATGACTGTATACACACCTATTCAAGTGTTTGTTTTATATCTGCCTGGAGCCCAGCTTTAAACAGCCTCCACCTATTGTTACTGTGGGATACTGTACTTTCCACATTCCAATGGAAGTCACTTATTGGGCATCAGAACAAATTAATTGTCTTACCTGTTAGGGCTGTAGATTGGAAGGAAGCTTGAAGAAGCAGTAAAATCTGCCTGCTCCAACGTCTTGATAGGAGATTTAAAAGAAGTCTCAGAGTTTATGGATCTGAAAGCACTGAAATCATGAGTTCCAAGGAGAATCTGCGCAGCTTCCCGAATCTTTACTACGTCAAGGCTACTATGAAAAAAAAAGTCAGAACACTGATATAGGACATGTACCATTTACAAAACCAGTGAAATACCATACTGCAATCTAACCAAAATGTTACAGATATGACATATAGCCCTTTAGGGCAGAACTAAACTTAAAAAATAACATATGAGCGAGTAGTATTTCAGTAGAAGGGATATTGTATCTCTCTTCTATCAAAAATGTCCTTTAACTGTTTGCTAGCAGTCTCATTTTAAATGTACACTGCATTTGGTACATGAGCAGAGTAGAGTACATTCTGAGAATGTGCATGAGATAAATCTATGACATTATGGTACCTGGTTCTGTGGACACCACCCTCAATAGTTCTGCTTCAATTGAGGGCCCTATCACACTGCCCACATGCTGAATGCTCCATTTTTGTGTGCAGGCAGCTGTCAGTTTGTACTTGCAGTGTGCTGCAGTGAAGGGGTGGTGTGACGCGTGTTTCAGTTTATTGCAGTTACTTTTTTCTATTTAACAAAAATCAAACTTTATTTGAAGTACCATAAAGTGACTATTAATGGTCCCACAAAGCCCCATGGTTTAATGCAGTGCCTACCAGTGTCTGCATATCTGTATTTTACTGTAGCTAGCAGCATCGCACATCCCGACTGCACTGCAGTGTGAACGATGCATATAGAAAATACATTTTTTTCTATGTATCCTGTGGAGACATATGTGGAACAAGTGTAGAAAAACACAGGTCACCACACTGTGTGAACAAGCCCTAAACCTCACTGTGACCCTGTCCTCTTTCTTCTATTTGTTCTCCAATAGTAGGTTGGTCCTGAATTCCAAAGCATTCTTCTGTAAGTCCAGGGTTGCCAGATGACACCAGGATGGCCTTTTTTTTTTTTTAAGATGCTGGTTTATCAAAATAAATAAATAATTATAAAAAACTGGACTTGGCCGTTAATCCCTGAAAACTTTAATTTAGGAATTTTTGTAGGTGACCTATAAACATCAGAACATTCTCCAATAAAAGCAGGAGATGATCATCTAATGTATAATGGGCACATTTAGTGCTTTGCTCCTTGCACCACTTTGCTGGAGAAGCATTATGAGGATTTTTCATAAAAAGGTACATGGTTTCTTCAAAATGGTATTAGGGGGCCCACTTGAGATGCAAGAAGTTTTGTAGAAGTCTTAAAGTTGAACTAAACTCAAGTTTAAAAACCATTGCGGACAGGCTATTTTAAATGCAGGAGAGACCCTGTATGTCTCATCTCAAAACAAAAAAACGGTCTTACCTATCTGCCATAAATGTTTTTTTTCCCTTTTAAATGTACGTGCACTAAGCCACATATACTGGTATGAATAACTGGTGTTTACTAAACCCACAACAGTAAAATCAGTCTATATATGCAGTAAATCATGCTTGTTATTCTTACTGTGGAACCTAAGGGGTCAATCCTCTGCATTGTGTAAAAAAAGATGTTTGATCCTTACTTCTCTGATCATCCCCTTCTTCCAGTGCCCCCCTCTTATCTCCTGATAAGACATATTGTGTGGACACTCTGCATATGTTCTGTTCGGTGCGTATTGCTAGGGAGGTTTTTGTTTCCTTGGGAGAGTGCATGTGATCAGCACAGGGCCAATCAGCACTGTCCAGACAGAGGTCAGGAGTTTTGCATCCTCTGCAGAGCAGAAAGAAAACTCATCCTACAAGCTTTAACATGTGCTCTGCTGAACACTGAAAGAAGTCTCAAGACTGCTCTACCTGCTGATGAGAAAATGTATTTAGCAGTTTATATTTACTAAAATAATTACACTACCATGTTCTGTGTACTGTGAGAGACTAGATTTAGTGAATGCAGGGTCCTGGGTTTAGTAACATTAACTCCTATGTGCACATACATGTCTTATGTCACCACAGCCCAGCCAATTAAGATGGCTGAAGACCCTAAACCGGGAGGAAGGCTGCGGGAAAATATCTGTGGCCATATCTGCAGGGACATCATAACTATTGCAGCACTGAAGTCTGCCACAATGTGCAAATGTTGAAGCCCTGGGGTTACATTTTGATGTGACTGGCAAAAAAAAAAAAATCAGAGAGAGCAAAAGTAATAAAAACTGTTCTAGGAAATACAATTCCAGTGAACCTGTATGGTGCTATCTGGCTAAAGAGGACTAAACAGAACTTGAGTAAACTTTCTGATATAGCATAGTTGCAGTGTTTGTTTGTAGTGATGGTAGCTCAGTGATTGGTTTCAGTTGTTGCCTGGGATTTATCTGCAAGAGCAATGGTAATATGCACAAAGTTTAAAGCATAAATAAGGCAAAACATTTAGTTTTGGATAGAGTGCAGAGGGATGTCTGTGCCCGTTCTCTATTTGTCCTGTTTACTGTGTTCACTGAGAGTGAAAGTGATAGAAAATTCAAAATTTTGGGCTTTCACCAAAACAAGAATAGATGGGATGTCTTCCAGTGGGGACACTAGGTCTGGTGACAGCCAGGAATTTGGTCACTTTGGAGGAATTTCCTCTCACTTTGTTTTAACTACAGGACAGGAAGTGAAGAAAAATCTCCCCAATTTGACACAGCAGAAAAAAAAAAGGGGGGGGGGGGGGTCATAACCTTCCACTACTCTATCAAAAATGAGAGGGTATTGCGCTTGTACTGCAAGGGTTAAATGCTTGATTAGAATAGGTATTATAAATTAGTTGATCCTCCGTTCTCCTATGCAACAGTGATGCACCGTCTGACTGCAGAAACTGGTCTATCAGTGAGGAGGAAGGGAGGATTGGATAAGTAAATCTACTTTACCATGCCCTTTAAATCTAAATGAGTATGAACCCTAGCAGTTTGGGCACAGCCCCCAATGCAAGGGAAAATGTTCAAATTTTCCAGAGCTTAACAAAATAAAAAAATAAGTAAAAAAATCCATCCTGCAGCATCATGTTGAAAAAGCTGCATACTTATCCCTCTGAAGAGTCAAATCTTTGTTTTCTTCCACAGTCGCTGCTGGTACTGCTATCCAACGTGTTTAGGTGTCTGATAGCATGTCCCCCACTGGTCACTGTGTTATTTCCTACCAGCCACTACATCATTACAATACAAAGCAGCGATGTAGCAGATGGTGGAAGGAACCAGGGTGCCCAGCAGGGAATATGCTATCAGACACACCCGGAAGTGTCAGGCAGCAGCATCACCAGAAACTGTGAAAGAATAAAAAATAAATAAAAATAAAATGTGGAAGAATCTAAAAATATAAAATATTTGTCTCACTGCTAGCTGAAGAGGCAAGTATGCAGCTTCTTTTTTACAAAGGGTTTTGTAGGCTGAAATTGTTTCAAATTCTATGGATTTTCAAATTCTATGGTTATGCTCTTTGCCCTTCAGAACCTTACAGATAATCTATTGCTCATCTTACCTCTCACTTACAGCCCAGCACAAGTTCCTTTCGAACACTGGTAAATTTTCGTGCCCATATCCAGTCACTAGACGGTACATGTACGTGCGGGACAGTGCATCATGCCGTGCATGGAAGTCATTACTTACACGGATGGCCTTCAGAACTCTGGGTGCAAGAAACATACAAAATAGGTTAGTTATGAAACAATATTTTAACAACAGATGAACACATGACAGACTGATAGGCATTCCCTGCATTAAGGTAAAAATAATGTTCCAGTGGAAGTATTGTCCCTTCACCCCCATTATATATAATCCTTTCTCGATCCAGCGCTGTGCACGTCTGCAGCGCTGGTCTCTCTCTCTCTCTCCTCACAGGACGGTAAATTTGTCTGACAAATTAGTTTATCTGTAGATGATTCCTATTAATGTTCTCCACCATCACAAAATAGTGTTTACCTATAGTCTGTTCAGTAAATTGGATTTTATTTTCCTCCTTTCCATAAAATGGTGTGATCAACATCTAGAGATTGGAAACATTTCCACAGTACAATTTCTGCTGAGAGCGAAGCTGCAATTTACAAATATTGTGAGAAGAAATATTCTTTTCTAAATGCCACAGGGATGACAAAACACATCCCTGCATGCCAGAGGTGCCCGAAAGACAATAACAAATACTTTATGGAATTAAATGAGGACAAGTAGCTTTTTGAATAATGAAAGTGCAAGTAGCTTTTCCCTCCAGAGTTCTCATTCCAGAAAACTCTTTCTGCTGCTTCTGGATCAACAAAGTGTTTCGTCACCAGCGGCATCTTCAAGTAGGGCTGCAAACCACAGTCTCCCAAAAATACAAAAATCCTTCATTTATAGATAAAATTACACCTGAAAATCAGGAGAACATTGGTCAAGCTTTTGCTAGAGCAATATATGCTCTTGGATCAGTAAAGGAAAAGGGGGGCGGTTACCTATTCTCATGTACAGCTGAAAATCTTCCTAACATATAGTCTTTGTTATTCCATTTGTAATACAAAATACAATTTTAAAAAGCAAGTTTAGTTTATTTATTGAATAAGCTGTGCTTTTATTTCAAGCATAACATGTTTATATACACTGCATTTCACCTTCCCAGTGAAACACATTGACTTTCAATTTGTAAAACTAATCCACACTGAATTTTTCTTTTTTTTATTTTTCTGAAAATTTAATTTTTTTTTCGGAAAAAACACAGGAAAAAAACATTTTTTTCTCATGGCTTCAAAATTTCTGGAAAATTTACATCTCTGCCCGTAACAAATAATCTGTCTGGCTTTACAAATAAAAAGTCAAAACAGTGTGATAAGTGCTGTACTGAATGACTTTGCTATAGCGTCAGGTCTCACTGTTAATTTTACCAAATCGGTGATTATGCCTGTGAATGTTCCGGATTCCCTGGGTGCATCTCTCCGTAGTTCGTTTCCATTTCGTTGGGTTATGGATCGGATTTCTTATTTGGGTATCAATCTCACCCCTAGATACTCGGATATATTTGCTGCCAATTATCCACCATGTATATCACGTCTCTCTACTCTATTAAAGATTTGGCATGGTTACCCTATTTCCTTTCTAGGTAGAGTCAACACGGCGGTTAAAATTAATATTTTGCCCAAACTCCTTTATCTTTTTCGAGCATTTCCAGTCCCAGTCTCGAAAACATTTTTGGATCATTTTCAGCGGACTATTAATAACTTTATCTGGGGTAATAAACATCCATGTTTTACCTCATCGGTTTTGTACCGCTCGCAACGGACGGGAGGTCTCAGCCTTCCCAATTTTTGGCTATATTAGCTCTCAGCTCGCTTTGCGCAGTTATCACAATGGGCAACTATTAACTCTCAGATCCCGTGGATCAAATTTGAATCTCAATCTATACGCCCATTTTACTTACCGGAAATTCTGTGGTCCAAAATTTCCCCTCGATCACTTACTTTTCATAACTCCATAGTGACTCATTCACTGACACTTTGGTCCAAATAGAAATTTAAATTAAACCTGGTCTCTTCTGTCCCCCCAGGTGCCTCATTTTTTGGTGATCCTACTTTTAATGTAGCCTTCTCCTCTCCTCAAGCGTTTCGTTGGTGGTATGATCACTCTTCATCCCCATGATCACTCTTTCATTAGATTATCTGACTTTCAAAGAGGAGGATCTAATATTACTTTTGATATGCTCCGCGTGTGTTTTGATGTTCCTCTTCGTGAATACCACCATTACCAACAGATTAGACATTTTTTTAAATCACATTTTGGCCTTATACCCTCTTCTCAGATTTCATTTTTTGAACGTATCAGCTGTGACTCTCCTGGGGGTGGGGGTCTTATTTCTGATCTTTATCACCAATTTTTGATCTGTTCCTCGCCTACACCTCCTTTATATAGACGAAAATGGGAGGAGGATAGCGGTATCATTTTTTCAGATGAGGACTGGGATTCCATGGTGGATAACATATGTAAGTGTTCTAGATCTTTCAGTTCGAGAGACTGCCCTTAAGGTTTTAACCAGATTATATTATACCCCATCAAGACTACATGTATTGTTCCCACAAACATCCCCTTTATGTTTCCGGGGCTGTGGCCTCACAGGTACCTCGGTTCACATATTTTGGGATTGCCCAACCATATCTCTGATTTGGCGCAAGTTATCTGAGGTGGCTACCTCATTGGTGGGTATCCCAGTGCAATTGTCTATACAGACCTGTTTATTGGGGACTCATATCCCAGGGGTCTCTAATGACATTATGAGATTGATATATACTATTTGTATTGCCACTTTGTGGGCTATTGCCTCACATTGGAAGTCCAACACTGTACCCTTAACCACCGTTTTGCATAGAGTTGATGCTGTGATGCTCATGGAGCGTATTCATTATACCTTATTGGATAAGATGCACTTATTTGATAAAAAATGGGAATCTTGGAAGGATTATAGACATTTATTACATGTTTACTAACATCCCAAGTGAAGATTGACTGGTATATATTGCTGACAGAAGTAATATTTAGCCTACTTAATCATTCACACATTTCATGTACTTGCAATCTACCTTTTTTCTATTTCCTCTCTTTCTTATACTAATATAATTTTATGTATTGTACTTTTCAAAAGTACCTTGTTTTTGCTGTTATCATTTGAAACTGTACTGTTGTTTTACAGTCTATTTTTCAAAATAAAAACGTTTGTAAACAAAAAAAAACAGTGTGATAAAATGTGAGTATGAGTAGCATTATGAAAGAACTACGGCACTCTGGGATAGAACCGAAAAACATATAGTGTCCAAACAGTAGGAGGGGCAAAGGGGGGATTAGAATACATAATCTGTGCCTATTTACTGTATACACTGCACACATATGCCACAGTCTTTATACCAACAAAATACTCTGAATTACTGTGTCATAAGTGACAGTCTCACACACATATACCTCAAAACAAATTATAATTGAATAATCTAATTTTCATTAACCGCTTTCCCACCACCCTATAGCAGATATACTGCTACAGGATGGCAGGGGTGTGCAAAATCATGTTATATATACGTGATTTTGCATTTTTGGGTAGGGGCCGCGTGCCCTACCCGTGCCACTATTCGTGGCCTCGACTGTCAATCACTGGGTCCCAGCCGGTGATTACTCTCCCATGTCAGCTCCTGCACACTGCTTTGCATCGCTCTGCCACCTTAGGGTGTGCTTACAGTTGAAAAGTACTAACACAGCCCACAGTTAACCCTTTGATCGCACCCACATGTTAACCCCTTCCTGCCCAGTGCCATTAGTACAGTGTCACTGGGGATGTCAGTGACACCAAGACAGTTCCCCCCAGTGTGAGAATGTCCACAGCAGTCCCCTATAAGTCGCTGATCGCTGCCATTACTAGTTAAAAAAAAAAAAAATCCCAGTATACATACTGCCATTTGTAAACGCTATAACTTTCACGTAAACCAATTAATTTACACGTATTGGGATTTTTTTAAACAAAGACATGTAGCAGAATATATTTTGGCCTAAATGTATGATGAAGTGTGATATTTTACATTTTTTTTACAGGACATGTGTAATAGCAAAAAGTAAAAAATATTGTTATTTTTTCTCAAAATTGCCTTTTTTTTATAGCGTAAAAAATAATAAATAATTTTTGTTTGGGTGCAAAGTTGCATGACCGCGCAATTGTCAGTTAAAGTAATGCAGTGCCATAACACAAAAAATGGCCTGGTCAGGAAGGGGGGTAAATCCTCTGGAGGGCAAGTAAGTAAATATGTTTTTCTGCACATAGAAAAAAAAAAAACACTTTGTCTAATACAGCCTACCTTAAAGAAGAACTTTATTAAAACCGTCAACTCAGTGAACATTTTGGTCATGTCTATATGACATACAGTCATGGCCACAAATATTGGCACCCCTGCATTTCTGTCAGATAATGCACCACTTCGCCTAGAAAATTGTTGCAATTGCCAATGTTTAGGCATTCTCAATTTTATTTCTTTTCTTTGTATTGGTATGACACAAAAAAAAGTAAAGAAACAAAAAAGCCAAATCTGACACATTCCACGCAAAACCCCAAAAATGGACTGGACAAAATTATTGGCACCCTCAGTTTAATATTTGGTAGCACACTCCTTGGAAAAAATAACTGAAATCAGTCTCTTCCTTTAACCATTAATTAGATTCTTACACCTCTCTACTGGAATTTTGGAGCTCTCTTCTTTCACCAACTGCTCCAGGTCTCTCAGATTGGGAGGGTTCCTGTTCCCAACTGCTGTTTTGAGATCTCTCCACAGGTGCTCTATGGGATTGAGATCTGGGCTCATTGCTGGCCAGTTCAAGTACTCTCCAGCGCTTTGTCTTAAACCATTTCTCGGTGCTTTTTGACATGTGCTTTGAGCTATTGCCCTGCTGTAAGACCCATGACCTCTGACAGAGATCCAACTTTCTGACACTAGGCCCTACATTGTACCCCAGAATTCTTTGGTAGTCTTTAGATTTCATAATGCCATGCAAACGGTCAAGACATCCAGTGCCTGAAGCAGCAAAGCAACCCCAAAAAATCAGTGAACCTCCACCATGTTTGACTGCAGGGACTGAACTCTATTCTTTAATGGCCTCATTTCTTTTTCTGAAAACAGTAGAATGATGGGCTTT